TTATATTATATATTTATATTATTATATTTATATTATATATTAAACATTTTTTATATTTCTTAATAATTTCTTAATATTTTCCAGTATTAAATATTAATATTAAATATTTCAATATTTGCTTAATTGTTATTATTTGCTTATTAATTAATTTACAAGAAAATTGTTTCCTAAATGATTAATTAGTTTTAAATAAAATTACAATTGGAAATTATCTATTTTTTAATAATTGAAATGATTTACTCGGAAAATTTAATATCAGAAAAATAACATTTATTCGTAATTTCTTTTACTCTCTATTTTTTTTTTTTTTAAATACATATAAGTGAAATATATACATATAAGTGAAAAATAATTGGAATAGAAAATAAATTTAAATTTTAATTTCTCTTCTTGCATTATATTTATTATAATATACTTATTTAAGAAGAATTTTACTTGGCTAAATATATTTATTTAAGTAAGTTATTTAAAAAAAATTTATAATTATTAAATAAAAAAAAAAACTTGAATTAAAATTTGAAATAGCATAAAAATAATAAAACATGAGAAAAAAAAGATTTTGTATAATATAATAAAAAATATAAAAAAATATATAAAAAAAAGTAATATAATATATAAAAAAAAAATAATTCATGCACAGGATAATAAAAAAATTTTTTTCTATGACATTTTGTTAAATTTACTGATTAAATTGTTAAAATGGTAATAAGTTTTGAATTGAAATCTACAAAAAAGTAATCTATATATATAATTAATGATCAGACAAGCTGTATATTATAGTATATAATAAGTATATAATAAGTTTAAGATGACGTCGACAAAAATTGTAGTGGCGCCGCTTTTATACCATCAACTGATAACCTAATGTCGCGACTGTATCGCAAAAATATTATTATGAATATATATTATAAATTATGAATATAGTTCGTCATTTCTTATGCATATTTTAATATTATTTTACTTATTATTATTATTTTTTACATTTAATCTTTCTTCTTGATTCATTAATTAAAGTTAAAATGTGTTCTTTAAGATTTTTGAAAAATTTGAAAAATCATTTTTTAATATTTTAATATTATTATTATTAATATTATTATCTTAATATTTTTCTTTGTTTAATATCTTAAGAAGAAAGAATAAATTAAACTATTTCTATTTAGATATTTATCTTAAATATATTTAAAATTCATATGAGTTATTTTTTAAAAGAAAAATTAATTATTTTATTTAAAAGAATAATTTTAAATATTATGATATAATATTTGAAAAATGAAAAATGCTAGAATATTTTGTTTTAGAAAGCAATTATAAATTTTTAATTTGCATATGGCAATCTTTGAACAACATAACTTAATTTCAATTATACGTAGATTTTTTTCGTCGGACAATTTTAGGTTGATGGCGTGTTTATTTCTTCGTATCATTCTGTTTAAATGTATATATTCGTTATAGTAAAATTACTTATCGAAAAAAGATAAATTAAAAATACTTTTCTTTACCTTTTTGCAACAAGAATTATATATATGTATTATATATATATTATATATATATTATTTTATATTATATAACATGTTTATTGCTATTAGAAAATTGTATAGATATATTCTAATTATTTTTTATTTAATTATTATCTATGTAATTATTTATTTTTTTGTGATTTTTCGATTTTTTTTTATTTTATTATAATAATTATTAGTTGGTAATGTCTCATCAATCATCATTATATTTTTCATTCAATTTTGATCTAGTTTCTTAGAAAGCTTATATTTAATGAAAAAAACTTACTTTTTAATTGTTATATTCATTTGTACTTCAAGACTAAATACTTGATAATATATTTTTTATGTTTTTTATTTAATTTAATATATGCGAAAATAATTTCAATCTTTGAAAAATTAATCAGATTATAAAATCATTTTTTAATTTCTATTATTCAATTTTTTTAATTTTTTAATAATATTTTTAATAAGCATTTCTTAATTTAATTATAAGATGAAATCTGTATTTCTTATGCACAAAAAATTTTTTTATTTTTTATTTTCTATTATTAATTAAAATAATTAAACATAATTTGATAAATAAATCATCTGAAAATAACTTATTTTTTAAATAAAATTTTAGAGTTTATTTGCAATTATTTTTATCTCAAACAAATTTATTTTTTATTTTATCCAAAAAAATTATTCATTCTTTTTTTTTTTTAATTATTGCTTCAAATAAAAAGTATCCATCGTAATAGAATTTTTAATTAATTAGAAAACAGTAATTTTTTAATGTTATAAAAATCAATATTTTAAACAATTTTTTCTTATATATATAATTATCATTTCATAATTTTTGCAAAAAAAAAATGTTACTATTATATTGAATTTCCATATATTGAATTTCGAAAAAATACAGGAAGAATTCGCGAAATACGATCAATATTTGAGGAAAAGAAGAAAAGTCGGATTTCCGTGACCTTGAATTGGTCGGTGAACCCGATACTCGCTTGTCCGCTTACGTCACGCTCTCGCCAACTCACAAGGAAGTGCTTTCTCGTTTCTCCACAGGCAGAAAGAAAGAGAGAAAGGAAACTAGAAAAAAAAAGATGCGGGCCGAGATAGCACTCACTGGCGTAGCGCACCACGCAAACAAATCAATGTCCGTCCACTTATTCCGTAATCCTTCATCGTCTTTTCATTTTCGAAGTATACTGCACTTTGGATATAATGATAAATGCAGTCTATGCGTTATCGCAATTAATAAGAAGAAATAATATCTAAAAAAAGATACAGTTTACCAACTTCGATGATTTTGAAATACATTAGAGAAATACATAGAAAGAGACATCTTTTAAATTTGAAATCCATATGAATTGATGAGATATTTCAAATCCATCGCAATTTATGAGAAAATAATTTTTTTATTAATTCATTCATTATTCATTATTTTGACTAAGTTATCTGTTGTCGATATTATGTTTATATTAAAAGACGATAAATAGTGACAAAATATATAATTTGCGCATGTGTTCACGAATACATGTGTCTAAGCGAAATTTTATGTAAGTATAGTAGTAATCTTTTTTTTTTAAATATATTTCGAAAACTATAACAATAGTTTAGATGAAAATATATATAATATTATCATTTATTTATTATAATAATGACGGAATTAATATAAAAATTTGCATTTTTTATATTATTGATGTGAAAAAAATCATAAAAAAAATGAACTTTTTATTAATAAAAGTTTGCAATTATACATTTTCAATTTGATATTTTATGAGATTCTTATGAAATTCTTATGAAATGAAAAATTTCAATTTAAGTATTTTAAGATTTTCATAAATTAAAAAATATTGTATATTATAAATATTATAAATATATTATTTTATCTATATTTTATCTATATCTATATTATAAAATATTTGATAAGAATCATAAGAATCATAAAGGATTAGATTATGTATGTTTTATTTATATTTTTCTTAAATTATATTTCTAGGCAAAAAGATACGAAATATTTTATATAATATTATTTAATTGAAAAAATAAAATATAAT